CCCCCAGCCGTACCTCCGATGCTGCTGCTCCAGTCGCTGGCATCCTCGCACGTTTCTATGGTAATCGTCGCCGGGGATCCGTTCACTGCAACCAATAGCGAAAAAATGAAAAGAAAAAAAAAAACCCAAGTCCTGATTTTTCTTGGTATTTTTCATGCGCTGTTTCCGAGGGAAGCGCTCCCTCGCTACGTTTCTGTGACTCCTCCTGTCTATCGCAGCAGAGCGCTTTCATTTGCGCGTAGCTCTCAAGGCTGAGCGGAGCCAGACGCTCAAGCGGCCGGCGAAGCTGCAGGCAGTTGCTGTGCCCGCGGCCCGGGGTAAGCTGAGTTAACCCATATTATGACAAAAGTTAACTCTGTCTGAGCTTAACCCAGGACAGCCAGCAGTGCTTATTTTTCCCCATCAGAGCGCAACACCCCCGGGATTACTTCTGCAACCCTTGCACAAGGACACATGCCCCAGGGCAGCGTTCCTCCCGCTCCCCCTTTGGCCACACTAGGGCTGCTTAGGGCAAAAGTCAGATTTAGAGACTGATTGTTTTGGCAATCCTTTTTCGCCTGGCTTACAGTTTGCAGGACTGGGATGTCTGGAGGGCTGCTAACGCCTCGAAGGGGGGAGCACCTCCTCGGGGTGCAGGGGGGTCCCTCCCTCCAGCTCTGCAGAACCTCAGGCGGTTTGTTGCCATAGAGCCAGGGGAACTGGCGTCAGCCGAGCCATGTGCAGGAGCGGGAGGAACGGGAACGTGGCCAGGGACCCACGGTGCAGCACGGAGCGCTGGTAATACTCAGCCGCTGCCGTTACATCCCATTCCTCTGCTGCTCCCCTCTGCAGCCCTCAGCGCCCTGCGTACTCCAGCAGCGGCTCGCCCTGTCCCTGCTCTGCTCCCAGACCCCAGCAGGAGCTCGGGGTGCGGGGCTCTTCGGGGGCTGTTCTGAACTCTCAGAGCAAGTGGAGTTCAGAAATATAGAAGTACTTAGAAATCAGAAAGCTTTCCAATAAAAGAGCTGCCTGTAATTCTAGGTCAAATTAAGTTTAGGGTTACAGCTACACAGCCGCAACATCATTTAAATCCAGTTGTATGAACTACACATACGAGTGCAGATAAAAAACCCCTGTAGTCTCCCCTAGTTCTCTTTAATCTTTCATCAGACAAACCCGATAATCATTCAGCTTCAATGAAAGCCCCTAAATTATTCTGGAAGAAGCCAGGTTAGAGCAGGGAGGACGAGGGACTCCCACCCGCACAGCAGCAGCCCAGCTGGTCCCTGCCTCGCGGACACAGCACCCGACCGGCAGCCAGGACAGAAGGGGACTTCATCAAGCAATGGACTGCTGCTTTCTTACAGATTAATTACAGCCTTCTGCTTAGCTGCACGGTTTGGGGTAAGGCAGGAGCCAGAAGAGCGGCTCGTCGGGTCATGCAGCGTTACAGAGCGACTAGGCGAGCGACTGCATCCCTGCGGAGATGCTCTAACAGCTCTGCTATGGGAAACTCTGCCACAGAGCAAGGCGAGAAGGCAGAGAAGTAAGGCAAAAAAGAGAGGCAACCGTAAGGGGCGTTGGTTCCGTGGCATTTGGGATGCTCTAATGTTCAGAGCCCCCATCCAGGGTGCGAGGACGGCTGGACGTACCATCCGCAGACGCGGGAGTCAGGGGGATGTACTCAGTCGATGTCTGGCTGGTCAAGGACACCCTGGCTCCGGTCAGGTCGATCTTGGTGCTCCGGCAGGTGTTGGAACAGACCTTCGTGTGCTGGTAGAAATCCAGCTCTCCAGAGTCCATGATCTTCCTGCAAGACAGGAGCAAGGACGGGGACAGGAGCATCAGCAGGAGCCGAGAGCACCGAGACGTGGGTCCTGGGCAGCCCCCACCCCCAAACCGCTCCAAATCCCAGATGAAAAGCTAAAGCCAAGAGAGCAGGCAGAGCCAACAGCCTGAATTTCCCTTGCCAAGTCCTCCTGTGCCCTGATCTCAGAGGCAGCATTAACTAAGAGTTAATGAAAACAGCATCCACAGCCGGCTCCACGCCGGGCTCGTACACAAATCCAACAACCACGCGATACCCCAGAGATGGTCAAATGTTTTAGGAGGCTGGGATGGGGAGGGAAAAGCCCACCAAGCACCCTGTGCTGTAGCTACGGTGAAGAAGGGGAACAGATTTGCTTTCTGACCACTTCCCTGCAGGATGCAGATGCTTCTAGGAGTCTGAAATTTACCAAGGAGTCCCCAGCAGGACTGATGAACTCCTGGGTGGTTTAGGGAGGAGGGAGAAGGTCCCAGTCTGGTCCCACCAGCACCTTCCCCCCTGCATGCCTGCAGTTTCTAGAAGAGTCAGCTGAAGCCTCAGTCCAGGGCTGAGACAGCGAGAAGTCTCTTCCTACCTTTTTTGACTCAACACCTCAAAAAGAGATGGGACACAACCCTATTTATAAACTAAAATAAGGTGTCTCAGCTGAAGCAAAGGAGGTTGCAGCCTTGGTACATGGGATCTTCCCAGTCTGAGCAAGTTGTCTCCAAGGCATCCCTGGGCTTTGCTGGCCGAGACCAACCTGAGCTTCCCAAGATTTGCTCCCATGGGCTGCTGGGCTTGCCTTCACACATTCCTTGGGAAGTTTTTGGGTTTGTTTTTTTTTTTTGTTTTTTTTTTTTTTTCCTTAAAAGACCTGCCTTGCCCAAGTATAATCCTATTATGCAAAATCTACGTGGAGCAAAAGCTGCTTAGAAGGAATATGGGAGACGCCTGCATTGAAGCAGAAGAATACAGGCAAAGGCAACGCCACCCTGTGAAAAGAGCTGAGAACCACCAACAGTTCCTGGGGAAAGAGGCGATCCTTTTTATCCTGCCTGCAGGCACAGACAGCCTTTAATTAAATCACAGTCCCAGCCTGGCGTGCAGGAAGACCATAGAGGAATTAAATTGCTGTAGTTAAGACCAGAGATGAGAAATGCTTGCACAAATAAGCTTTAAATAAGTTCTTGGCAAAAGAAAAGTGACATAAAGCAGACGCACTGCAACGGGAGCGTTAGTTCGTGACCGGACTTCCATTCGGTGGGTCACACTGAGAAGCCGTGGCCAGCACAGCCCAACCACCACTGGCCACGCAAATTTTCCATGGGCCAGCTGGGAACTCAGTGTGGTTCAAGTTCTAAAAAGACCAGGGAAGCTTCTGACCCCCAAATTATTCCCTAGGCACAAGGGCAGAGCAAAGCCATTGGGCAGCCCACATTTGGGGCCAGGCTGTCAGGACAAAGCGGCTCACTCCCCCTCTGCCAGAGGCTCTGTCCCACCCCGCTGTCACCCCCCAGAAAGAAGCTGTCTCCGCTGTTGCTCTGCAGAAACAAAGAGACTAACCGGAGCATGATCCCATTCATCCGGATCGCCCGCTTCCAATCCTTCAGCGTCGACTTGCCCGCCAAATGGACAAACTCCTTGGGACTGATGAGGTGATCGTCGAACTGCAAGAGGCAGAAGCGCACCATCAGCGTGACAAGCCATAAAACCGCGGAAAGCGTGCCCCGTGAGCAGGATGGAATGCCCGGTGGCACTTCCCGGTGCCCAGCTTTTTGCAGCTGCCAGGTGCTGTTTAAAGAACAGCACCAAACCAGACGGCTGACACACACCGCCCCACCTTAGAGAACAGCGACCAAGTTAAAAAAATTCAAGTCAAATATTCCTTTCCTGGCTGGGTAGTGAGCAGCTGCTCGAAGCCCTGGGTTTGGGGTGTGCACAGCACAGAAGAGTTTGCCAAACACCCAGCCCAGGCAGGACAGCTGGGAAACACCCGCAGCCTCTGCAGAGAGTCATTAATTGCTGTTGGCTGCTCATGCTCCACTAACGAGCACACTCGCAACGAAAGCCAGGCTGCTGCTGGTGACGTTTGGGTCCGGGGCCACGCTACGCCCCGGGCGAGGGCAGGAGAAGCCCATTTGGTCTTTGACCTCCCGCTGCCGAGCCCAGGCACCGCTATCAGCGAAACAGCGCACATCCACTGCTGCCGTGGACCAGCCCCAGGGAGCTGCACCGCCAGCCAGCTCGTCTGCTATCGCCCCGCACACCCAGCTGTGCCCCAGCCCGGCGCGGAGCCACCCTGCAGAATCAGGCAGTCCTTCAAAGAGCTGCTTACAGCCCAGCTCAGAGAGGAGTTCCCAAGAGAGGACGGATTTTAGGCAGCAGCAGCGTTATCTGCAGCAATACCTGTCCTCTGCCTCAGGGATGGCAAAGACCATCTCTCCTACGAAGGGCAAGGACCATCCCTTGGAAAGGTCTCTTGCAGCAGAGCCCAGAGCAGACACCCCTCAGCAGGGGGTGTTTAGTCCGTACGCAGATGCCAGCGACGGCTGATGACAGCATCACCCATGGTACGTTCCTGAATTCATGCACATTTTCATGATGAATTATCCAGGACACAGTAGGAGTTCTTCAGTAGGTCCCCTACCAATAAACTTCTCAACAAATTCTCAACCTTCAAACTGAGCAGACACTGGAAGTGCCCAAATTTCTCAAACTCCCCCATAATGCAGTTAAATTGAAGCAGCATCTCTCCAGCTTGGCAGAAAAGACAAATATCCGGTACCATGGCACCAAGAAAATTCCCTCCTGCCCCACCAGGACGCGGTGCTGATGCGAAGCAGCTCACCAAAGCTCAGCACAGCCAGGACAAGCCGGGCGAGCCTGCACGGGAAGGCACGAGTCCAGCGTGGGGGTCCTTCGTTCTCACCTGCACGCACTTCACATTGATCCCCGGGCACACGAACTTCCTCCAGATGAGGTTGGCTTTGCTGTCCCCGCAGGTGATGGGGTAGACAATCTCTGTCTCCAGACTGTCCTCGTCTTCAGCCATCTTCACTTCTCACAGTGAACAGAGGAAGGGACAGATCAAAAAGAAACATGAGTCACAGCCCCCGCTTCCCCACCCCCAGGCACACACACACAGTGACAGAGTGGTTTTGAAGCTCAGAATTTTCAAAAAAGTAGATGATGCAGGGTGGGGTGTGTTGGGGTTTGTGGCCACCTCACTAAAGCATCCAACCACCCAAATTTCTCAGGCAAAACAGCACAGGCAGGTCTATACTGATCCAGCTGCAAATTTGAGAAGTCAGTGGCCAGGGCTGAAAAATTTCAATTCTTGATAAAAACAAAAAGAATGATGTTGTTCAGGGAATTATACATTCACCAGTGGTTTTAGAGTGCAACTGCTTTTAAGGCAGCTCCAGCCGGTTAGTCTTTTTTCACTAAATCCACTTTTACTTGTAATCGAAGCCTGTGAGTTTGCTGCAAAACTGCTGTTGCCCTGGCAAGCTGGAAGGGCAGGAGCTGGCGGTGGCCACAGGTTTTTTTGGGGCCCCCTCCTGCCACAGGAGGTGGCAGCAGCAGCGCAGCCCCCAGCTCCCACTGCCACCCAGCCCCAGCAGCTCCAGGGATGCTGGGGAGGAGAGCATCCCAGTACCCCCAGGAGAGCAGCCCTGGTACCCCTGGGGGAGCATCCCCAGGAGAGCAGCCCTGGTACCCCTGGGGGAGCATCCCTAGGGCCCACTGGCAGCTCCGCACAGCGGTGGCCAGACCCTCTTGGCCAGCAGCTGCGCAGGGTTGTGGCCCATCGGGGTGCTGGAGCTGGCAAGGCTCCACCGAGGGGCTGCGGCACCGGCTGGGGCCACCCCGGGCGC